TTCTGCCCAACTCTCCGGATTGCTTGTCCTAAGGATTTTATTTTGCTGTTGATATCAAGAATCAAAGAAATGTATTGCACCTTTTTATTCTTTTCAAAACTTTTTGAATGTTGACTCCTCAAAATTTATTCCTGGCCCTTTTTAGACACGAAATTTAATTTAAAGACTTTCTAAGAGTTTTCCTTTTTTCCCATGCGGAAAGCATTATCTGAAAAGCTTTATTTTTATAATTAGGCTTCAAAATTTTCCCTTATTAGATGAACCCCTCTTTTGATGTAATTATTTTATCTCTGATGATGTGGAGTTAAAGGCCTAGCTAGCGCACTCCGTAAATTAACTTCCTTGATCCATAATCCAATTTGCACTTGACGCAGGTAGGCTGTGCCTGTTTCTGACGTTTGCATGTGTAGGTAAGATGATCTTTTCCACATTTCATACATCTTCGCCTGAATCATTTCCTACCTATTGCTTTTCCCATCACGTTAGTGCATTACTCATTGCTTTCAGGAGTTTCCTTAAATGACGTGCCAATCATCCTTTTAAAACGACTAAAAGAAGTTCTTCTTTTTCCTTTGTTGATGCCCGAAGTTGCAATCCTGACCCAAGGGTCCTCATTGCTTTCAGGAGTTTCCTCATTGCTTTCAATCCTCATTGCTTTCAGGAGTTTACTTAAATGACATGTCAATCATCCTTTTGAAACGACTATAAGCAGTTCTTCTTTTCCTTTGTTGATGCCCGAAGTTGCAATCCTGTCCCAAGGGAAAAATTGCGTACAGTGGTGAAAGCGTCCACGCTTTACTTAAGTAGGTTATTGTTAGCGTAGTCGCATTAAAGCCTGTTGCAGTATTTGACGCTGCTACATGTAAAGCACTTTTACATTTTTCAGCTTTGAACGGTATTTGGATTTAACTCTTTCGCATCGCGAGAGGACCAAAACTGTTTTCCACAAGCATCGAAAACGTTCGTGTGTACGAATTTCTCTTGGAATGGTTTTTCTTCCCCCATGACAAGTAAGAAAAACCATTCCAAAAGAAATTCGTACACACGAACGTTTTCGATGCTTGTGGAAAACAGTTTTGGTCCTCTCGCGATGCGAAAGAGTTAAATCCAAATACCGTTCAAAGCTGAAAAATGTTAAAAGTGCTTTACATGTAGCAGCGTCAAATACTGCAACAGGCTTTAATGTGTCATGCAGCAAAAAACAAGCACATGTGTCTCATTAAAACGCTATTTCCTTGCATTAATTTTTGTGTACTTAAAACATATAATAAAACTGCTACTTTTCATATGTATATTGTTTACCAAAGAAATAAATTATTTCTAGGAAAACATTAGTTTTTATATCTTTATTCTATATTTAACATCTGGGGCCGCGAAAAAAATTCGATTTTAAAAAGGAAGCCTTATTGAAACAAGTTTAAGAAGCGTTGTATTAGAACACATTTCAGACAGAAGGTATAATACAAAACTGTATTAATATATGTCATCAATATATTGAGTATGTATGTAAGAAACAAAATTCATTGAAATTTACAGAAGTTCTAAATTTTTATGATCAGCCAAAATTATAATTTTTACAGTATACATCTTTTGAGTATTTGCAAGCCAACCTACATGCCATACACATTTATCTAAAATTAAGTAGCTTTGTAAAATTTGTTTTAATTAACACGTTAAGTTAATTCTGATCTGCAAGTTCTATTTCTTCTGTAGGCCTCACCGGAATTTAAAATAGGTGAGTTAAACAACGAGCGAAAGTGACAACGCAGACAAACGATGCCGTTTTCGTGGTTTATGCGTTTATTTAACACAGGTTTGTATATACTAATACTCTTGGAATGGTTTGATTTAACAAGATATGCTATCAGAGTGGTTGTTCCCTCAGTTGGAAGAAGCATTTACCGGCTTCATTCTGCAGCAAGAAGGTGCTCCACCGCATTGGCATAGAAACCAACGCCAGTACTTGAACGACAGTCTACCTCATCGCTGGACTGATCGTGCAGAGTCAAACGCTATGGCCATTACTTTGATGGCTATCGAGATTCCCAGATCTAACTGTTTGTGATTTTCTCTATGGGGACAAAGCGTTCGTACCTCCATTTCCCTAGGACTTACAGCACTTGAAGCAGCGGATAACTGGAATGCTCCAATCATTAACAAAGGATATTCTATCAAGAGTGTGTCAGGAATACCGCATAGATATTTGCCATGTCACCGGATGAGCAAACACAGATATAGAAACTTGGGATTACTATCGTTTCACTGTCAATTTGATTTATCAAAATTAAGTGATTACGGCGTTCACAGGTATGCTTTCTTTTGTTCTCTTCAATATGAAACACTTTCTATGTACTAATTCAGAATTCAAACAACAAAAATCAGCGTTATATTTTCAAATTTTCACAGGATTAGTTTCGATGGTTTTACCGAACCAGCATCCTCAGCTGCAAAAACACAAATGAACGAAACAAGAATATGATTAGATAAGATAAGATAAGAAAGGCTGGACAGGAGATAAGCTACTGGCGTCATCTGTTGACGAAACCAGAACTAAAACATAATTTCCTTAAAGGCTGAAGGCAAAGATGGATTGGAATTAGTGTCATTAACTAGAACAGAAAGATTTTTTTTAATGTCAAATGCTTCTAGAAATTCCAGTTCAACAATGGAAGATGATTTTTGAATAATTTTGGAAGCAGAAAAATTGAAAGTGTGATTTTCGGGCCAACAATGTTGGGCAACAGAAGACTTCTGTGTTTCCTTTTTTCTAACATATGCCTAATGTTCCTTAACGCGAAATTTTAAGGCTCTCTTAATTTGGCCAATGTAAACCACACTGGCAAGGAATTTTGTAAATACCCCAGGAATTCATATCCGGAATGCGGTCCTCGAGTATGGAACTCGGAATTTTATTGATGGGAGAATAAACAACCCGAAAGGTAAATTTCTGCAAAATACGTGCAACTTTATATCTAACTGATGGAAAGAAGGGAATGACAACAGAATTTTTATAATCTCCTAAAACAAGAGTGTGCCTTTCGGTGTGTTGAGATGAGAATTTCTTAACTGCTTGATTAACAATGTTGGGTGAAAAGCCCCTGTCAATAGATTAAATAATAGTCAATAGGCTTTTAAATAATTTAAATAATCTTATTTCGTTCATTTGTGCTTTTGCAGCTGAGGATGATGTTTCGGTAAAACCATCGAAACTAGTCCTGTGAAAATTTGCAAATATAATATAACGCTGATTTCTATTGTTTGACTTCTAAATTAAAGGATATTCTATCAAGAGTGTGGCAGGAAGTGAAATACCGCATAGATATTTGCCATGTCACCGGATGGGCAAACATACAATAAATATAGAAACTTGGGATTACTATCGTTTCACTGTCAATTTGATTTATCAAAATTAAGTGATTACGGTGTTCACAGGTATGCTTTCTTTTGTCCTCTTCAGTATGAAACACTTTGTATATGTTGAAAGCTGTGTGAGCAAGCGATTCAGAGTATTGAACACAGAACTAAGTATCGAATAAATAACAATTTTAAAGAAATGATTGTGCTACGTTGCATTAATTTACGATGTAATAACAAGATAAGAGATGATTCGTAATTAAATCAGATTGCATTGAAAGTGGTATAAGTACATTAATGGAATTATAAGAAATAACAAAAGTGGTATAATAAAAATGACACGAGAAAGATTGCATTCAAGTCGCCTAAAGGTCTCTTTCACAAATTTTAACTAAATTCTTCTATGGTTAGCACTCTCAGTATTTCATATGTGACCAAAAATGTCAAAACCAAAAATTTTCAAACTAAATATGTGACCAAAAATTTCATATGTGACCAAAAATGTCAGTTACATGTGACCAAAAATGTTAGAAAAGCTATAAAGTTACATTTTTAAAAATTTTCAGTAAATTTAATTAAATACCGTGGAATTAAAAAAAAATTGAATCTATTTTAACAATTTATTTATTATTATTATTTTTATATAATAAATATTATTTTATATAATTATAATTTATTATTATTTTATATAATTTTTTTTATTATTATTATTTTAACAATACTTTTATACTTGAAATGACACATTCTAATAAAAATAATAAAATCGTGGAGTAACAAAATCGTGGGGCAACAAGGAGCCAAACTTCTTCAGGTATAATGAAAATATAAGTATTAAGTATAATAAAAATTTCACAGTGAAATGCTGTGAAACGCTTGCTTGTAACGTACTGTGCATAAATATGTTTTAGCTATTTCAGCTCATATCCATTCCTCTGTTTTCCTACCTAATGTTTGCATAAGTTTCTCATAAACATGTTTCTGGAAAGGAAGGTCTAGTGTCTATTCACACATTCCCTCTAGACATATACATTTGGCATTTTTCCCCAGAGCCTTGTAAAAGGTTGAAGAACTCCCAGTAGAAATATATATATATAGCTTACATAAATCGTACTTCGTCTATATGTCTAGGTGAACACATTTGCAATTATTATGGCCACCTTGGGATTAATAACATGCCAAATACTCTCGGCGCCAGCTGGTGGAATCTCTTCTCGGTTCAGAAGTGCATGGAGCTATATAAAATTTTCCCTTAAAGGCTGAAGAACAGACCTCATATTTGCTTCATAGCAGAGAAACTTTTATGTATTTATGTTTGAAAGAGTCAGAAATTTATTTTTTTCGACTCACATAGATATCCGCTGAAAACGAAGTAGCGCCATCTGTCCAGGAAAACGGTAAAGAAACGTGTAAAAGCTAAGAATAAAACAACGGATGTCCATTAAATACATGCATAATATAAAGAAAATTTTGAATCTGTCATAAATGATGATGGCGAAAACTGTATGTTAGGCGGAACAGTGATGACCTGTTTAATACTCCTTTGCTAGTGGCATAACAATAATTAATTACGCTCAATTAAATTGGTGCAGATAACAAATTTGTAGACATTAAGTTATTTCAAAGCAGGAGATGTGAAAAATGAGCAATGCCCTCGCCGGGACTCGAACCCCGAACCTCTCGAATTCACGTCGAGTGTCCTGACCACTACACCACAAAGGCATGCTAAGAAGGCGGGCAAAATACCTTATATAGCGGGTACATTATACACAACTTAATACTACTTAATAATAATAATATTACGACTACTTAATGCCTTATACACGATTGGGGTTTTGTGGGACCCAATCGCCAAATCCTGATGGTGAAGAATCATCATTCACCACCTTTTAGTTCAGGCGCCACTGTGGAGACATTAGGATTTTTTTTTTTTTTTTTTGAAGCAGGAAAGATGAAAAATGAGCAATGCCCTCACCGGGACTCGAACCACGGAACTCTCGAATACGCGATGAGTGTGCTGTCCATTACACCATGAAGGCATGCTAAGAAGGCGGGAGAAATACCTTATATACGCCTCCTTTTAAAGAGAGACTGGGGATTAGGGGACCCAATCGCCAAATCCTGGTGGTGAAAAATCTTCGCATTCCCCACCGTTTTTAGTTGGGGCGCCAATGTGGAGGCATTAGGTAGTTTTTGAAAGCAGGAGAGATGCCCTCGTCGGGACTCGAACCTGGACCTCTCGAACACGCGCCCAGTTTGCTAACCGTTACACCACGAAAGCATGCAGAAAGGAGGAAACGGAGAAAGAACCTCAGATCTATTTCGTCGTAATCTATTTGTAAGCTTTGTTTTGCTGTGGTTCTTCCAGGATTTTAACTTTTTTAGAACTAGTGAAGCAAAAATTTTATCTATGGCAAGTTTTTTATGCGTAGACGTAGATAAAACAAAATCAATTGCCGATAAAACCTTGTGCCTAGGTACAGGAGCCCGTATTAGGTCGTTTTACAGCCTGATAAACCGAAGTTCTTCACGCTAACCTTCTGTGGGCGAAATAGCTAAATAGCAGAAACAAATGACCCAACTGAATGTGTATATTATACAATATTTATTATAATGCCTTTACGGTTTATGTTAATCTTCTCTTATTGTATCTGCTATGCATTCTTTCTAGTCTTACGTTCATAGAATTTTATGTCTTACTTAACGGAATCCAATTACCAGTGTTCGCCTAACCTTGCCTTTATACATACGCTCAACAGCTCGACGACTTCTGGCCTGCATTCATTTGACATCGCTTAACACTTTAATTAGTATTTCCTAACTTCTGGCTTAAACATGAATTCTAAATTATTAATTACTCATTTTAAAAACTTTATTATAAAAACAAATTACCTTAGATATCTTTTAAGTTATTTCATTATACCATCCGCAATTCGCAAACCGTTTTGCAAGGGGTAGAGCCTTGTGGCTCAGGTACCCTGGTGTACCAAACACCGTTCTACGGAGACAGGACTGAGAGTAAAAGGTAGTAAGTGGTCAGGAAAGTACAACTGACAACAGGAATAGAGCATTGACAGTAAAAAATTCACGCCTCTTTTTTATTTTTGTTTTCTTGCGATGTAGACGGCCTTAAAAACTAGCTGCCTGGGCATATTGCCCTACTTCACATCGAATATAATTAAAAATCTCGAAATTGTTGCCAGAAATAACTTAACCATAAATATATAACTGAGGTAGAGATTAAAAATGAAATACCGTCATATGTGTTAAAAATTTAGGGTAGAGATCTGGTGAGTTGTCTTTTAGGAAAGAAAATGCGGAACTATAGTGCGACAAGAAAACATTAAACAAGCATGTACAACAAAAAGCTAACCATATTCAAGTTCTCTCATGATTATAAAAAATGAAGTAAGGAAATGAGGGTTTAAGATGGCCATTAATTAGCCTTTTAATATTATTTGCGTCAGTAAAGCTGTAACCGAAAGTTTTTATCACATAATTATTAATTAGCCTCTGGCTATTGCGTGCAAGTGCTTTTTCTGTGTTGTGAGAGGACCCCCTTCCCCTCACAGTGTTTTAAGGATGTATTTATAAATGAGTTAACTTATTATCAATAGATAAGATTATGTTCCCAATGGTTTCTTGAATAATTCTGCGAATAATAGGCGAAAGATATGTCATACTAAATTATAATTTTAATAGCAGGACAATTTTTTTATTACAAAGAGAAGTAATGAATAATCTAAGCAATCATGAAATTTGCTATCCTGTTTACATTTCACGAAAAGAAGAAATTCTACGCATGCTAGGTATTATTTCTGAAAAGATAATTATGCAAGCAAGTGTCGCTTTCATGAATATTTATCCCTTAATGAGCTCTATGGGTGTTTGCGAGATTGTAATGAAATATTCTATTAAAATGTCCTTCACAAAGGCATCCTTCCTGTTCGCAGAATTTATCTCAAAGATTTTGTTTCCAGAACTCCCCACTTCCGCAGTTACACAAATCATTCCTATCCATAATTATTACCACAATTCTAGTAACTATACGAAGCGACCAATGGCAATCTTAAGTAATAATTTGTAGATCTAATAATTATTAATTTGTTAACCTATAATGTGTAAATAATTTGTAATTTATTACGTTTCTGTATTTTGTTTTCTGCACATTATAAATCTTATAACGTTGTATTTACTTATTTATTTATTAGCTCAAAGGAGCAATTTTTAAAGAAGGGCTATTTCGTTCCGGCATTTTGTGTCGTCTACTATAAAAGGCGTTTCACTTTTCAAATTGTAGCCACCAAATGTTAGATCCCTGCATTATATTTAAAGAAATTAAATAATGAAGAATCTTCATGAAATGTATATATGGTTTTCGCATTGTGAAAAAACAACGGTATCTAGAAACATCAAATATTGACTAACATAGTCCTCCACTCGAATATGAGCATCTGGAAGCCCAGATTTGGAATTTGTTTTATTATACCGATTTCATATTTTGTAAAACATTAGCGAATTTTTGAATAACGAACTCGACAGTTTCAAAGCGAGCAATGGGAACATTATAGGGAAGAAAAAAAACGTATTTTTATCTCCATTTTCATCCGGAAATTCTAAAGATATGCACTTTTTAAATATTTTGTGATATTGCTGTTGAATTGAATTTTATGGTTTTAAATATGTTTTATTGTGTTTTCTTGCTTTTAGTCTCAGTTACACGATATCATAAAAATGTTTTAGTTGAAAATACTTTTCCAACAATGAATAATCTCTGTTTTACTTCCAATAATTGTTTTTATTATTATATATATACTTTTTTTTTACTTATTACGTGCTCGTCCTCACGCACTACACGGAAAGGGAGAGATAACCCCCTGGAGGTCTTAAATAATGTGGTTTGCAACAAGAATGTGCTTTTAGGACAATGGGGAGAAAAGAATAATTGATTTCCTAGTTGCTTGAATAAGGTGACACTTCCTCAAGTCCCAAAGGTCCCAACATACTCCAAACAAAGTTCATCTTCTGAGAAATCCGTATAGTTGACATTAGTACTAAAAATAACAAAGGTCAAAAGTGTACAATTTCCCATCTGTGAAATTGTATATTTCTATATGCTAGTAGAAATGGTGTTAGCACAGGAGGACTCGGACTCAAGGTTCAACCTTCATTTATTACGAAATAGTGTATGGCCCAAATTCTGATTAATTAAAATCTCAAAGATTTTGTTGTTTGAGAAACAATTGAGTTGTTTGAGAATTAAACGAAATATAAGGACATTGTCGCGCGCATAAAATTTAACAGATAATCATACCTGATGACATGAGGTTGCTGCTAAAATTTCTTGAAGTTAAAGCACATAGGTGTTACAAAAGCAAGTGGAACAACTTTAGGCAATATTCAAAATAAAATAATACAGGAGCAGTTAAAGATTAGTTACAAAATGTGTATGCGGTACGAAACAAAATAGAAAAGCTTAATGAATTGTTTACAAATTATTACTTAAGTAGCCACTGGCAGCTTCCCACATATACAAAAATTATAATCATAATTATAGTTAGGTATGATGTTATTCTTTGGTTTCCTAATACTTAAATGGAAACCGTGTGCCAGGTAATGGAAGTAGCACGAAATTTTGCTTTTCCCAGTTCTTCATAAATTGGTTGTAGGAAAAAATGTCACCCGGAAAAAATACCTCTTTACATTTTTGACATATAGTTTTGAACCACCCAGTATATCGTTGTAGAAAATATTTTCAGAATAACTCGAAATTCGATTAATTTTTTGGACATCCTCTTCTACTTTTAATTTATAAGAATCAACATGTATTATTTAATACTTTTGATTCATGAGCTCACACGTACTTAGTTGTAAATTGTATCTTTAGTCAAATATTTATAATACCCAGTACATATATTAAAAATTGTTGGTGTTTTCTCCCTCCATTTTGCACGGCTTTGTGGTATAACGCGGGAGTACACTCGGCGGGTATTCGAGAGGTCCAGGTTCGAGTCCCGCCGAGAGCATTGGTCATTTTTCATGTCTCTTGCTTCATAAAACCCTCATGACTCCACAAAGCGACACATTTGTATTTGATTCGCTTTGTATAAAAATAAGGTCAGTGTTACGAAATATACTTGTTGGGATTTGTTCCATCGATCTTTAAGAATTGACACGAATAATACTTCATGACTGAAAATATTCCACCATAATTGGGTAAAATTTTAAAGCATGAAATATGACTAAAATACTTTCAGCTAAGTTTCGCATCATGAATCCTGAATTACCAGTTGACGTTGTTAGTGTTGCGATATATGTTATCATTAAAGCATATAATTCAATTATTTCATAGAATAACTGGGTATTTCATGAATTAACTAGTTAAGTCAATTAAAGTGTAAATAGATTAATAAGTCACCCAACCGGGATAGTGGTTAGTGAAGCTAACTGCCGTATCGAAGAGCCCGTGTTCGAATCCCAGAGAAAGCATGGATGTTTGTAAATGTATAGTGTCTGTGCGGCATGGGAGTACTCTAAATTTGCGGCGAGCCGAAAGGCTTCTTGAGAGGTTGGTTGCAGAGGGGAAGCATAGGTGACCCTCGGACCTGTCCCCCCTCAGGACGCCCTCCTTCAAAATTTAGGGTGGGACTGAGCAAAATCAGAACTGTCAACAGTAGTGTACGCAAGGCTCCTGCCAACGACAAGCGCAATCTTGCACTCCA